TTAAAGAGTGAATATAGTGCCACCAGCGTATATATATATATATACATACATTTTATTATGTAGTATATTTACTTCCGTCTTCCTTATATGCATAGGTTGAGAGCTTCGTCTGTCTAATTTTTAATTTCTTTCTTCGTTAGATGTTAGACGTGTACCGCGCTTTTAAATTAATTAATTAATTAATTAACGACGAATAAATACTAACATTGTTATTTAAATTAAATGCAATTAAAATTAAAAATTTAATAGTTTTACTTCCTTGAAAAATTTTAGAGGAAATGATAGATTTAAATTTTATTTTAAATATTGTATTAATCGTTATATAAAAATTTTTTAAATTATTTGTTAAATTATAAATATTAAATAAGTTTAAGTAACGTTTAAGACGTAGAACTTAAAAATACATCTTAAAGGTATTTTTATATGTTCAAAAGAAATGTTTCTTACTTCCGTCAGAAAATATAGAAACAATCATTTCAGGCGAACGAAACGTTCAACCGTGAAAATCTTAATTCAAGCGTTCAGCAAGATGCTGTCACTTCGATAATTCTCTCGTTATCCATCAAAACTAAAAATTATATCTTTTTAAATAACTTAATATTAATATTATATTTTAATAAACATTTTTTAATGTTCATAGTTCGTTAATTTTGAAAATAATACGTTTATATATACATAAATTATCTGAAATACGCATTAGATAATGAAAATAGAAGAAATGTTTTGTTCAAAATATATAATATTTCAAGAAAAGACAAATAAGGTACAAAAATTTCTTATTAATTATGAATTTCTATTAAATTCAAAAATAATTAAGCTATGAATAGATTTAGAATTTATTTCTTCTAAAATTAAATTAATTTTTTTTATTATAAAATTTTAAAGTAATAAATGTCAAGAATTCAGTCTTTCCCAGTAAAAAAAAATAACAAACGCATTTCTTTAAATATCTATAAATTTAGCCAATTATATAAAATGTAGGACAAAACAACTGTATTCTGTATTCTTCAGTACCAAGTAGTGTAAAGAATCGGCAAACATTTATTAAGGAGCAGAAGTCATTATTAGCAGTCAACTGAAAAGGAAACCGAAACACACCCATCCGAAGACGTGGCCGCTAGAGGGACAAGTTTTTCCCCCCTCTCCGCCTTGTTTGCGGAGTGAAGTTGTTTGAGAAGATGGCGGAAGGTAAACAGCGTTCGTTAGCTGGGGTCGTACAAAAACAATCGAGGAGAGCGAGAGAAAAGGTAAGCGTACTTATCTTTTCTTTTGAGTAAAAAGAAAATAGTCTGAAAATGTCTTTATTTCGTAACTGTCCGATTTATATTATTTCGATATATAATAGCTGGATATTTAAACTGTAAGCGTAGGTTATACATTGGTAGGCGAGTTGTTTGGTTGGTTATTTTGGCTTTATTTGGTTTTAAATTAGCTTCCTATATTCATTTCTTTAAAAAATTTCTTCCGTGTGCAATACGAATTGTTATATTTACATCATTATACAGTCCTATAGAAAATAATAATGAAGTTGATATAGAGTCGTGGTTCAAAATGAAATCAATCAATTTCTCACGTGTTTATTGAATTAAAAAATTAATCAATTTCAATATTTTTAAAAGACTTCTTGAGCGATGATTAATATTTGAAGTATTTTTCTATTTTCATTTCACTGTGCTGTATTTAATATTAGCGTAACTGTCAACGTTTATAACCGGAACTTCAATCAATATATTTTAGTTTCTTCTTATCTATTTTAAGATTAATAACAAGAGTGTTTATTGTCGTTAAAGATATAAATTACGTTAATAATTACGCTAACAATATTTTAAACGTTCCGGCAGAAAAATATTTAGAGAATTGTACTTGATAATTTATTAATATTTTTGTTTAATCTCGCTAATAAATGTTATAACGTGTCGATATTTACACGAGATTCTTAGTAAATTCTTAAAAGATGTAAAAAAAAACGAATGGAATTTAAGATTTTTATCACGTGTCTTGCTGAGAAATAAATATCAAGGTCAATAATAAAGTTACAGTTTTTTCCTTCGGCAATTCAATTTTCTTAATTTATCTAAAATTTAAAATTTTTGAATAATTCTATCTGTTTATAATAATTCTTTGGTTATAAGAGAACAATTATATGTATGTATGTTTGAATTTTCAGAAGTTAATATTTTTAGATTTTTATAAAATAATCTATGCAAAACAACTATATTTTGTTTAAAAAATTCAAGTTTACTGCTGTTTTATTAGATAAATACTGAAAAACAACTGATAAATACATGAGAGACTTTTGTTTTAAATTTTAGTGATTGTCTGTGTCATGTTTTGACATTGGTCTATACATGATACATACATCTGGTAGACTTACTTGCATTTATTGTCTATTTGTGGAATAAGAAAATGAACATCCAATCATCAAATTTCTGATAAGATTAAATTTCATTAAAAATTAATTTTTTTATTGGTTTTTTTCTATAAAACTTTTTATTTATTTTTAAGAAAAATTTGTATATGTTCTGTAACGTTAGATAGAAAAATAAGCAGAAGATTTTCACATATTCAACAATATTCATATATATTTTGCAATACTCTGTAGAAAAATATGATAAAAAATTTACATATATTCCATAAAAAGTGAGTCTGTACTTATATTTAGAAACAAATGGTTAAGAAATTTGCACATTTNATGTAGAAAGTTTAATATTTGTCATAAATTAAATCTCATAGAAAGTTCTACCAAAAGTTTATCTTTCTTTTTTGCAAATACAATAAACCCTCAATTTAACAGACTTTGGATTAATAATGGACAAAAAGTTCCGTCCAATGGGAAAAATTTAAAACCTTTTTATTTGCAAATAGAATAATAGGCATTTAAAGGTTGGATTAAAGAGTGAATATAGTAATATAATAGTAATAATATAGTGTACTCAGTGTACACTATATTATTATTTTATTTGCACTTTGACATCATAATAACATTTAACATATCTTGCACATTTTAAGTTTGTTATTGATATACATTTTTAAAACACATATGATGTAACAGACTTTTGGCAATGGTGGATCCCCTTTTTCCAATTAGTCCATTAAATCAAGGGTTTACTGTAATTTACAAATAAAGTTCTTTCTTGTGTTAGGGTTATGTGTTGCTAGATGTAAAATTTAAAACAGAAATCCAGTTTTCTTAATTTTTCATATTTAATTTTCTTTATCACAGTATGTGCTTGTTACCATCTAGGTATATGGAACCAAAACAGTGTTGGACTAAGGAGATTGTTGAATTATTGGAAGTAAGATAAATTTGATAATTTAATTATTCAGAAAAAAACATTTGTTTATTTGCATGAGTAGTCCACTTTAATACAATGTATTAAGTTGGACTATTCATGCAAAACACCTGGGTGCACTACCAAGACTACTGATCAAAACACATGGATGCACTGCCATTGCCAGTAATCAATGTTGCAAAGTTGATGGATTCCAACTAAATTTAGTGAGAAATTGAAGTGACCATGGAAAATTTAGTGGGAGGTACAGTATTTTTGGTGGGAAAATTTGGGGACTAATTTTTATATTTATACAGTATTGTGTTATAAGATACTGTGCTTTTTTTAGTAACCTAAGATGACAAGCCTAGCATTTTTTATTATGACTAAACTTGAGTGTTTAAGCTTGGGCTCAGTATTGTGTCATGTTAGTGGGAAGGTGTTCAAGTTTAGTGGAAACTGGAAGTTGAACTTGTGGGAAGCTTGTCAATGACTTCACAACAGTACTGTTAATATCCCTGAATGACTAATGTTAGATTACTGGATGTATCAAACTAGCAGTCAGATTACCGAGATTGTACTGTATTTGGAAAAAAATCTTACATTGTTTTAAAAGCTGATAAATTGATCCATATAAAAAGTCAATAAATGTTGTTATTTTATTTCTCTAGATGTAATTATAATAGGTACTTAGAAGAAAACATTGTTCATATATAAATAATAAAGTAACTATTGAGCCATTGCTATCACATTATGAAATTGAACTTTCGCATAGAAAATATGTGGGATATTCAATAAGTAAATTTCTGTAAATTGAGACAAATTTACTTAAAGTGCCAATGTTAACATTATCTTACACTTTCCTCTATAGATATTGCTTATCAGTTAGATTTGATTTCATGCATATGTGCTAGTGTCTCAAACATGAAGCAAAAAAAGCTTAGCCAGCCCATCTCAATATTCAAATGGTAAGCATTTGAGTGTTATCCCATGACTGCAAATATTGATGTCAAAACAGAGAACTTAGATAAATTCATTGAAGAAGATAGCCAGATTATGGTATGAGATATCACTGAAGTAATATGTTTCAATTGGCTCTGTTCATTCAATCATCCATGTCACTTTGGACTACTATCAAGTTTTGGCCTTTTGGTTTCCTGATTACCATTCTAAGCCAATGGATTACAGTCTTGAATATCTGATATGGTACCAAAAAGATAGAAATGATTTCTCCATTCTCTACTGTGTTGTAACATGTGATTAGAACAGAACACTCCTTTAGCCAGGAATAAATTATTTGGGAGCTAGATGGGCATGCTGAATAACTGTAACTGTTATTTCTCTTTTTCAATTTAGGCCTATTAGATACAGATTCAGATTCATTTTATTAATAAAATACTGAGTTACAGTACATACCTGGTGCCATAGACATATAACCAGGTGCAGACAAGAACATATTGGCATTATTACAGATCATTAACATTAGAGGCTACAGTAACATTACATGTGTAGTATATACAAAAGATGGGGATAAAATAACAAGTTGTATGATACAGAAAACATATGCATTAAAATATTATACAGCAGAGAATCACAAAATACAGAATGTAAATAACAAAATACAATACATTATAGAATAATAATGCAGACAAAGTATAATACAGTGGAACCCCGTTTAACGAACGTCCTGGTTAACGACCAAATCGGTTAACGAACTTTTATTTTGCAAAAATTTTGTCTCGGATAACGAACTTAACGGCTTTTTGTGTCAAATTTGTAAGCTTGCCAACTTTTAGGGAAAATCAGTTAATCGTGTGTTGGTGATGGTCTAGGATCCATTCGTACGTTGGTGGTGGCGGAGGAGACAAAGATGACAAGTATTTTACAGTGAAAATCGTTTATTAGAACGGGAAGATGCTTACATATTTGAGGTAATTGGAAATGGCTTATCTACAGTATTTTCTCTCGGCACTGAGGAGTGGCGTATCGCTGGGCCTACGATAGTGCAAGCTGATCAGTCGTAGCCCCAGAGCGGACGAGATGGGTTCGCTTGGTCACAGAAGCGATGGTAGGTGACAGAGCTGCAATGACTGGAGCGGTCCGCGAGACAACACAAATTTTAGTGGGCACGACTTCAGGCTTAATCCAGATGAAGACGACACAGATTAATCGCCATAGAATTTTTACGGAAACTGCATTTTGACCTTGAGATTCGGGGTTTTTGTAGTATTTCTTCCTTGAATCTCATCTTACGATTAGTCCTGCATCCCATTCCTCGCTTTCCGATAGTTTTCTTCTTTGTCTCCTGGTGAAAACCGAAACTAGATCAGGTCACGAGAAAGGTTTGTTCCGAGGCGTTTATTTGACACCTGTTTGTCGACTCTGATCATAGATTGTTGATAAACCTATAAGCCTTTCGCTCATAATTTAGCCTATTGTTTCTGCTATCTGTCATTTTAGAACTTTAACGACTGTGTGTGATGTTTTTATACCGTCAAATCTTTCCCCTTTTCCGAAAATTTAACCTAGATCGATTGTTTATGAGCATGTTTTCCTATATTTTCATTAAAGAAAACCCATTTTACAAATAAAATTACAAAAATACTGACGTCTAGAACGGATTAATTGTATTTGCACTAATTTCTATGGGAAAAATTGCTTCGGTTAACGAACGGACTCGTGGAATGGATTATGTTCGTTAACCGGGGTTCCACTGTACAATATTTCAATCCAAGTATAAAAAAAACAGTAGTTTATGTTTACATGATGAAAGTAAATGTATATATTATATGAGTATACAGAATAAGGGTATTGCCAACTAAGCTGAGGGGACTTAGCCACTCATAGCTATGGTAGCTATGGCTCTGGAGCTGAATGTATTATTATACCTCTGAATCAAGAAGTCATCTATAAAATGAAAACATTTGAGATCTCCAAGGACAAAAAGTTTAAATCTACTTAATCTGTGGAAAAAACCTTGGTGATTGTTTTCTGGAACTGTGCAGATATATTTGTTGGTTTTGGAAGGCGAATCAATGATAAATACTGTTTATTATTGTGAGACTTTGACTCACGAGGAACCTGGCAACCTGTAATCACTGATTTCAATGAAGTTTTGTGAGTGTTGTATTCACTTATGTTATACCTAAAAACATTACTCACAAAAATTGGATGGGACAAATAACAAAACCAATCTTATTTTCAAACCAGCAAACAATTCTAATGTATATATAAACATTTTTGATCTAACAGTAGGCCTTCATCAGGTTGATGTATTTATATGTTCTATTTTAAGAATGTACAGCAAACCTTGAGTTTTGAATGGCTCACTTTTCAAACAATTTGTTTTATTTTTCTTCTGTTTTGCAGTTAATTGTTTGGAAGACATTTTCCAATTTTTTAAACATACTTTTTTCAATAGTGATCTTGAGCCTTGCTGGTTTTCCATCTTCTGTGTCTTTAAACTTTTTCCAAGTGTAATTTACAGTTCCTAATGACACACCAACACACATTGGAACTTCTCTTTGGTTTTTTTCCCATCTTGTAGCAGCTTTATAATTTTTTTTTTTTTTTTTTTTTAACATTTCACAAGATGTCATTTTTATTAAGTTGGATCCATGCAACAACAAAACAATTGTCACAGCTGTAACATTTATAAATGTTGATTTTTTTTTTTCTGCAACAGTTTAGGTCTGAGAGAATGTTGGCCCCTTCCTGCTCAGAGAGCTCTAAGGGGCCAAGAAGTGTAAAGTGAAAAGTATAATTGTCCTGTGAGGGCTTATAATGTATTTATCTAGTCCCTTTTCAGGGCTCATAATATTTACGTGTTTCTTGGAGTCTATAGTTGTAATTTAATTTTAAATTTTAAAGGCCAAAAAACTGATTATGTATGTTAGTAGATGTTACTAGTTTAGTTATAACCAGTGCTAGATATGTAGCAGAGGTGTTGTATATGTACCATCCAGCTAAGGCTAAAATATTTAGTAAGAAGCATGTTTGGGAAAGGTCTAAAATTTAGTGATGAGTTTTTATATATTAAAATTAAAATTAACAATTATGATGATTTAATAATTCTATATTTTGTGTTGAATAGTTTACAGTTGTATGTGTTGAATTTGAAGTTAATTTAAGGATGGAATTGGGATAATATAATGGCCAAAGCTGGATGGGGTAGGAAAGAAGACTAGGATGATAACCAAAGACAGATAGGATAGATCTAGGGTACTAGTGACCAACATAGCCTAACCTAGTTTTTCTGGCTTGTCCAGAGCCACTGTGGAAAAGAAAGCAGCAGTGGTAAAGCCACAGGTAGTTGGATCCAGCAGATTTAGAATAAATGTTAAAATTTTGAAGTGGGTTACTGGCTTCGTGAACAAGTCAGCAAGACAGTTTAATGCCTACTGGGAGGACTTTAAGGGGGGAGCTTGGGAGATAAGACGTGAAGGAAACCCAGTAAAACTTCACATGTCAAGCTAGGCCAATGTGGCCAGCCGAAGCAAAATTGAATATAAAGAGGCAATTAATAGGGGACCAAATATGGTAGGTGTTGGACTAGACCACCATGTAGAATCAAGTTTAGTAGGGAATTTTATGCCATAGTTTGGAGAGTGGCTTTAACGTTATAAATTTGAAATTTAGTCAGAACGAAGAGTTAGAGCACCTGGCTGAGGACTAACGAAGGGGTCCTACAGGGCCAGATAGAGAGGGAGAGAAACACACAGAAAGGAAAGACTAAAGCAGCAGGGATAGGTGCAGTGGCCAGCTAACGCCAAGCCAAGGAAGGCGCTCACGGGTGGTAAAAGGCCATGGGAGGCAAGATGGAAGCCAGTTGCCGACTGCCGACGGCAACCCCAGAGCAGAACCGCCACTGCCGATCTACCGAGGGATACCGTACCGGGATCAAGGCCACTATCCAGAAAAAGGGAGTGCCTAGCAGTCGAGGAGGCCCACCCAACCAAAGCAACTACTCCGAAAAGCAGGACGAGCGAGTATAAATGTTGATTAATGTTGCAATTATAAAATGAAAAAGAAAAAATCAGCCAAAAACTGTCATTCTAAATTGAAGACAATATAAAAAAAAAGGTTGTAAGTGCCAATTTTTTAATTTTTTTTTCCTTTGATGAAAAAGAATATATGCTCCAATGCTAATGTCAGTAAAAGGGAAAGAAAGTACTACATCTATTAATTTAGTTCGTAGCTTTTATTATAAATAGCATTGAACTGTAAGTTGTGCATATTTTCTTAAATAAGGCTGAATGTGGAAGTACAGATTGCCTCAGCTTAATGTTTACATATTCTTCTTCTTTGTCTTTGCTTGTTCCCATGTTTATTTTTCATCATCTCATCTTTAATTTAATCTTTCTTCTCCACTTCTCTCTATCCAGGGCATCCTCACTCCTCCATCCACTTTCCCAATTCTCTTTCCAACATAGTCCTCATTTCTTCTTTCCCTATGTCCAAACTGTCAAATCTACTTTGACTATTTCTCATATGTAATCATTTCTAATTCAGTTCTTCTTTGCCACATCAAACATCCATCTTAGCATTCTCATGTCCACTGCTTCATCTTTTCCTGGGCTCTTGTAATTGCTCACAACTCAGCACTGTACATCATTGCAGGTCTTACTACAGTTTTGTATAATCTTCCTTTCATTTTGTAGCTAATTTTATCACACAGCACCTTACCCATCTTTCTCCAGTTCAGCCATCCACTCTGAATGCTATGTTGGATTTCTGCACTCATTCCTCCATCACTTGCTACATATGATCAAAGATACTTAAATTTGGAAGTTGTTAACTTTTTACCCTGAAGTTGCATGTAACTCTCATCCCCTCCACCAGATGTCTTATATACTGTCTTTGCTCTGCTGATCTTCATGCCTCTTTCTTCAAGTGCTTTTCTCCATTCCTACAGCTTCTCTACCTTATCTCAGGATGTTTTGCACAGCACAATGTTGTCTGCAAACAGCACACTTCATGTTGCCTTGCTCTTTTACGTCTTCCATCTATACATTCATCACCAAATCAAACAGAAATGGACTAAGGACTGAGCCCAGGTGCAGTCCAACTCTCACAGTGAATCCCATAGTCATACCTACACTACCCGTTACTTGAGTCATTGCTCCCTTATACATTTCCATAACAAGTCTTACATACTTTCTTGGTATTCCTTTTAACCATATATCTATACCTCTGTCTAGACACACTGTTGTACACTTTCTCCAGGTCTATAAATATCTTGTGCAGTTTTGCCTGTATGTCTCTGTATCTTTCCATAGGCTGCATTGCAGCAAAGATTGCATCTGTTGTTCCTCTTCCTGGCATGAAATCAAACTGTTCCTCACCTCTAGCTGTCTCTTGCCTTCCATCCTTCCACACTTCTCTCCCAGATCTTTACTGAGTGTGACATCGATTTAATTCTTTTGTAATTTCCACATTACTGCACATCTTTTCATTTTATAAATTGGCACCAAAATATTTTTCTTTCACTCCATAGCTTTCATCACTTTTTTATTAAGCTATGAAAGCTATGCTATTGTATGGGATCCTATAAAAAGCTATGGCAGCTATGCTAGCTGCCATAGCTTTTTTATAGGATCCCATACAATATCAACACCCTCTTCCATTTAACTTTAATGTTTACATAATATATACTACTATTATTTTAAATGTATTGTAAAAAATTAATTTTGTATTATTATAAATACATTTTGAATTTATCTTTCTATTTTGGATTAAATGAATGTGAAGTCTCCTGAAAGAATTTGTTCAGAAATATAAAGTCAGAGATTTATTATTAAATGAATATTTTAAAATGTAAATCATTTTCATACACAGAAGAAAGAACTGAATTTAGTTTTGAAAGATGAATACAATATTTCAATACCTTGAAATACACATATTTTTGTTTTAAATTTCAATTGAAAAATAAAAGTGAAGTTGAAATTTTTTAAAATTTTAAATCTTTAGAAACTTTATTTTCTTGTATTTTAAAATTTTTTTAAAGGAATAATCATTTTTTTAATTAATTTTTTGTCAAGTACAGACAACTGGTCAGTTAAATTTAATCAGTCTGTAATATTACATCAAAGTTAATTTTTTAAAAGCATTTTAAAATACTTTTAAAAATTATAATTTCCTATAATTTAATTTATTGTTATGATGCCAAATATTTCCAGAATTTTTCTTTAAAACTTATAGTTAAAGAATAAATGTTCTGTACTACTAATTTACTGATTTATTGATTATACTATTCTTAAATTACTTAAACCAAAAATTATCAGTACTTTTCCTCCTCCTAATCTAATCTGAAGATGCTTTGAATATCATTCAAAACATCTTCAGTTTAGATTAAATATGAAAGTTCAAATGCTGAATAAAATTATATTTTTTTTAGTTTAAATATAAAAACGGTCAATTTTTTTATAAACATGTTAAAATAATTTATTTTAAAAAATAAAAAAATAAAGATTTTAACAACAGGAAAGATATAATGTTAACTATGTTAATGTTAAATGAAAAATTTGAACCTGATTGAAGTCAGGGTCATATTTTCATTGTGAGGTGATAAAACAATATTTATAGCACACACTATTTTAATCAAATGAAGAAAGTACCCCAATGTTGATTTTATTGGAAATTGGTGTTATATTTTCTCATAAAATAATTTACTGAAAAGTTTAAAATGAATTATTTTAATGTGTTTATAAAAACATCTTTGGTAATTTTTTTAGTTTAAATTTAAATATGTTTGATCATTTTGTATAGCATTTTGAATTTTTATATTGAATCTAATCATACTTTGAATAATAAAAGGGAGAAATACTAATTAATTTTTGGTTTATTTAAATATATTAAGAAAAAAAATTATTGTGAATCTGTAGTCAGTAGCTCATCCTTATCAGTTCTAGTACCTGTGGTTAATCACAATTCAAAAATATTAAAAAGAAAATTTCACAAATAGATGGCAGAATTATGGGTTTAAAGAACTGCTAAAGCCCTTTCTAAGAAATAAGTGGGGTGAGTATGTTTGTGAGTTTAAATTACAACTCTCTCCCAAGGTGCATTCAAATATTAATACTGAAAGTCAAATGCATGTTCTTAAATAGTCTCATTCATGAAAAACAGAAGGAAATGGTGTGAATGGAGCAGTTACTTTATCATGCATTTATAGAATTTACAAAAAGGTGTGATTCACTATTGCTGTGAACAACTCGCTAAGAACAGCAACATCACCTCTTACAGGGTAAAGATTATGAAGGATGATATAAACAGGAAATTTCAGTGGCTTTGTTATACTGCCAGTCACATTAAAAGATAAAATAAACTATATACTGGATAGTGAATAAGTTAAAAATCACACCTTTATCATAACAATCCAGCAAAAGATTTTTAATACCATAAAAATGTTTTCAGTTGTTTTAAACGATCTTCCTCAGTTACACCAAAATAGAACATTGAAAATCGAACATAAATAAAATTATGGAATAAATATAAAAATCAAACGGAAAAATGCATATGCGGACTAAATATAAATAAAATAAAATAAAATAAAATAAATGATATAAATAAGGCCAAAGCAATGAAAGTGAATAAAATACAAGATGTAAGATGAACTATAGTATTATCCTTTATTATTCTTAATTATTGTGAAATGACCTCCGTGCAGTGGATAACGCATCTGTGTCCCTANATGAAAGTGAATAAAATACAAGATGTAAGATGAACTATAGTATTATCCTTTATTATTCTTAATTATTGTGAAATGACCTCCGTGCAGTGGATAACGCATCTGTGTCCCTATGGTTTATACATCCAGTTCTTATATGCATTTGGAAAATTTCTAATTTCTCAAGACGTTTCACTGTATGTCTGTTTGTCATAGTCTTGATAATAGCTGCTTGATCCCATTGGATATTAACATCCTGTTGTCTTGCGTATGACGCTAGCACGGTGCTGTCAAGGTTCTTATTGATAGTGTATCTGTGCTCCTTGAGCCTTTGTTTTAAATGGTGCATAGTTGCTCCTACATAAACAAGCCTGGAATCGAAATGTTGGTTGTGTAAAGGCACCGAATAAACTCCCACCATTGAATTCTGATCTTTTTTTTTTTTATCATTTCTTAAATGCTTGTAAACAGTGGGATTACGTCGGTATACAATTTGAAGATTATTAGCTTTGGCAATATTTCTATGCATTTTGTTTAAAAATGGAATGTAATTTAGCATCATCCTTCTTCCTTGGTCTACCTTGGGAGAATGTCATCTTGTGGTTTGGAAGGATATAATAAGTTTCTCTCCCTCGCTTCTACAGTAACCTTGCTGTTCGGCTACCTTAAGAATGTAATCCAATTCCTTAATTGTATCATAAATGCTTGTGCAATGTATAGGTTGTAACGGACACTTTGTACTGTACATGTGATTGGTCGAGTTGCCAGTGGCGCGAAGCTATTGTTCGTGGGATTATGACTAAACGCCCCTAAGGCGGAAGACCCCCTAACCGCGAAAACGGAAGTCGTTGGGAGAATAACCCTGCGCGGTACGAGAGGAACTGCAGGGTCAGTCACTCTTTGGCTTAGTCTCTCGTTGTGAGGACGTCGACGAGTGCAAGACGCAAGAAGAACGAAGTTATACCCCAGAATAGATTTGAACCTTGGGGTACGAACTCACCACTTTGAACTTGTACCTGGCTAAGATTCCCGTAGCCGTAACAAATTGGAGCCACCAGTGAGAACAGAGGTTCATCACATCTGAATAAAAAGAAAAGAACGAAAAAAGAAATGACGGCGAGTTTCAACTTGAAAGGAAGAGAAAACGGTAAGTTCATTGTTCCTTTGTCTTATACATAAGGTCCAGAGTTAATTGGGTTTTGTGACCAGGGATTATTATATAGCCTACAGTATAATCATAAAGTAAGTTACATTTTGGGTAACTCAATATTAAATTGATACAGGAATTATTGTATCTAACAAAATGCCGAAAAAGCTGGCCATGAAAGACAAAATTGATATTTTAGAGGATAGAATTGCTTCTAAAGATAACGAAATTATACAACTAAAATCGATTATTTGTGAATTACAAGATAAAATTAAAAATCTTGAGAAGAAAGAAAAAAATAGATACAGGAACATCGAAAACTCTGGAAGGGAACGAGAACCTTCCCCTACTGTTCTCGAGGATGATAGAAAGTCCGACGTTTCGTCTGTTTCTCCTATTAACCTGATAATGAATTTAATAAACCAAATTAGGGAGGGATTCGAAAATAGATTCAATAAACTTGAAAATAAGTTTGCAAATGCGAAATGTGCCGAGTCACATCCTTCGTCCAGTCCTTCACTTACGAAAGGTCCTACTATTCCACAAAAGTTAATATCTTGGCCTGTGTTTGATTCACAGAATATAAATATTTGGCTGGAAAAGCTGCAAGGAATAAAGGAATGTTTCGAATTAGACGATACAACATTTATTTCCACACTAAAGTTACAATCAGATATAGATTTAGTAAAATGAATTAACCTGAACTAGATTGAAAGCACAGATTAAGAAATGGTACGAAACAGATTCCACTGTGAAGAAAACAATTAAAATGTACAACAGAATTCAAGGGAAATTAGAATCGGCCTTTTCGTATGTTTTAGATAAACTAGAATTAATTAATTCTTTAAATCATGAATATTCGGAGATGGAAAAAATAGAATTATTAAACAATGGTCTGCAAAAGGAAGAAAGAATGGCTATTGCGAATAAAACANGTTATAGTTTATTATTTTCTGCTGAGCACGCTTTGGGTTGTTTATAATAACATTGTTGCTGGATTTTCTGACATGCAACATTTGTTATCATCTGTAATTATTGCTACCATTTATATTAAAATTTTTAATATTGGGATGACGGATATTAACATATTGAATCACGCCATCCTAATCTATGGTTTGATTTTCTTGAAAATTTATACAATGTTTTCCAATAACATGCAGGAGGCTTCGCTTCTACTTACATTTTTGATAAAGTGAACAGCAGTTATTTAGCTATAAAATTGGAGAAACAAATTATACCCGAAAAATACAAACACACTTAAAATTCATACATACAAAAAATCCCCCAACTATTCTTCATATTTCGACCTATCATGGTCTGTCAAACAAACGTAAAAATATTAGGGAGTTCATTTTTGACCAAAGCCATACATTTCTTGTATTATTTAAGAGCCCGAAAAATAAATCGTAGTACACATCGTTTTTTTTACAACTTTATGTGCTTTTTTGCATTTGAATATACTAAGTAATTAAACATCAAGTATGTCTCAGTCATACTAGAAATTTAATCGAAATTCTCGTTAATTGGTTTAAACATATTAACGATTATCAGAAAGTAAATAAAATAAATTTATTTTTTTTAATTCTATGACATAAATAATTTATTATTTTGTAAAAAATATATTTTAAAATAAATTAAAATTGTAACATTTCTGAAATATTTTAAGTAGTTTTTTTTTAAATTAATGCATGATTTCTGACTCGCTTATTATATTAAATTTTTCAATAAGTTAATTATTTTTAATAATTTAATTTTTTTCTATATTTCACTTCAGATGTAAAGTAAAACAAAGCTCCCCATTTCATATCGTACACGTGGCATCAGCAACTGAATCAACAAATAATGTGTAAAATTAGTTTTGCTTTATATTTTAATAAAGTTTTCGTTTAAAATTTTTTTAATAATTAAGATTTTTTAAATTTGAGATCAGCCGGGGGTACGGAGTAGTTTATTACTCGGTATCACTCAATCAGTGGCTAGTTGTTGAAATTAGTTCTAGGGTCTTCTACAAGAATGGCTTTTCCTAATTCAAGGAAAATCGAGGGCGGAGAGACGTACAGTTAAGTAAATTTAGAAAGCGGAATTTGAGGATTTTCGTAATCACTCTTTCTCTCGTCAGGATTCCCGAAACCAGTTAATCAATTTACCGTTTTGCGAATTTACACGCGTATAGAGGTAATACGGATCTGATTCAGATATTGAATAGGAGAAAACTTTTAACAAATAATGAAACAATTTAATCAAACAAAAGTAAACAACATTACACAAAATTGAAATGTTCAATAATTAAATCTTACCGATGGAGAAAGTATGGATTCAATTAAAATATACGCTTCGAGAGAAAGAGCTTACAAATTTATTGATAATCATACTACCTCAAAGTTTACTTTATCTTTAACTTCATCTGTATTCTATGTTCATACTTCATTTCATGGAGAGGTCCTGATTTGGCACAATATTAAAAGTTTCTTCTTTTCTCCTAAATTAAGTCATTATCGTACTCGATTCAATACGACTAAGGGTGTTGGCCTTATGGAGCAAATATAAACTACGTCTCTCCTCTATGAGATTTTTTGACGTACTTACCTAATCATGTAGATCTTTGACTATATCTCATGATTTGTGACCAATCAACATATTTGTATTTTCTCACTTGACCGGAGGGAAGGAGAGTTATTGAGGGGTCGATAATTACCAGGGTAGTGAGATTTGTGATAGATAACTGGAAAACAAAAGGATTTGTCTACTTCTGTTTAAGAAAGTGGCTCTTTTATCAGTTTTCCCACGTTAAAAAATGATATTTTCACACCCAAAATAAAAAAATATTTTACTTCATATTTTTAACTTTATATTTAAATTGTTAATTAGACCCAAGGACTATTCGAATCTCACATAAATAAACATGAAAAAACATTTATCGTAAAGTAGGGTAACTAAATTATGCATTTAAAAATAATTAGAAATAAAATTATTTATAAAAAATATTTGATATATAGATTTATGTCTATTCATTTTAATTTGTTTGTTTATTGGGTGCATTTATCCTTGACCGAATTAAATCGATGTTGGAATAAATAAGGAATTTTTTGTAATTTATTTTATAGAAATTATTTATATTATGAAATATAACTAAATCCTATGCATTAAAAAAGGAACTTTATTTTAATCAAAATTCTAAGAGGTATCTAATTTCGTGTTAGAAAAATCTGTCATGTAAATAAATATTATTTCTCTGGCTATTATAATGATTAATCAAATTTAGATTCTATTTACACTTTTTAGACACTGAACTGTACCTTCGAAATTCAGCATCGTAATAATTCGGAACAGTAATTAAAGTAATTAATCTGTCTTTTTATTTTGTTTGATTTGATATTGCTATACTTACAATAAAGGAAATTTCCATTTGACTAGTTTTAAATGAGAAAGCAAATAGAATACCAAAAAGCAACTGAACAAATTAAAGATAATTGAATTTGATGTCGTGTTGGAAGCAATATTTAATTGAAATGTTTTTGAGTTATTTTTCCCTTTGTCAAATGAGAATATTTCTAGTTAGGAAACAGGACTATTCTTAATTGCATTAATATAATGTTATGCGGTCATTCTTCTAACATGTGTGACACGATACATTAATAAATGTAATACTGTAGATACTATATATTAACTTTTCAGACAGCTATTTAGCATTTTCTGTACACTTTACTGAACACGGCCCAGGACATTTCGCAGCCGATATTCCGTTAATAGTCAGCGAACAAAGACCCAACCACCAATAGCCAGTGACCATAAGGTTGTACCAAGGACAATGTCTTATTTTCCAAAAGAATGTCAAAATAAAAAGAGTAATAATACGCACGAGCGTTTGTAAACTTTTTCTCGCGCTTAAAGATTATAATTTCATATAATCAATAAACAGGCAGTATTTTTCGTAATCGAGTTGTAGAGTGCACTTCTTCTATCAACCCTTGTACATCACGGATCAACACCTACATATGCAACCGTTCGCGCAAAAAGCGAAGTTAAAGTCTATTGAGGTTTCTTTGTCTGACCATGTAACGGACACTTTGTACCATACATGTGATTGGTCGAGTTGCCAGTGGCGCGAAGCTATTGTTCGTTGGATTATGACTAAACGCCCCTAAGGCGGAAGACCCCCTAACCGCGAAAACGGAAGTCGTTGGGAGAATAACCCTGCGCGGTACGAGAGGAACTGCAGGGTCAGTCACTCTTTGGCTTAGTCTCTCGTTGTGAGGACGTCGACGAGTGCAAGAAGCAAGAAGAACGAACGTATACCCCAGAATAGATTGGAACCTTGGGGTACGGACTCACCATGTGAACTTGTACCTGGCTAACATTCCCGTTAGCCGTAACAAATTGGAGCCACCAGTGAGAACAGAGGTTCATCACATCTGAATAAAAAGAAAAGAACAAAGAAAGAAACGACGGCAAGGTTCAACTTGAAAGGAAGAGAAAATGGTAAGTTCATTGTTCCTTTGTCTCATACACAAGGTCCAGCAATAATTGGGTTTGGCGACCAGTAATTATTATATAGCCTACAGTATAATCATAAAATAAGTTACAGTTTGGGTAACTCAACATTAAATCGTGACAGGAATTATTGTATCTAACCAAAATGCCGAAAAAGTTAGCCATGAAAGACAAAATTGATATTTTAGAGGATAGAATTGCTTCTAAAGATAACGAAATTATACAACTAAAATCGATTATTTGTGAACTACAAGATAAAATTAAAAATCTTGAGAAGAAAGAAAAAAATAGATACAGGAACATCGAAAACTCTGGAAGGGAACGAGAACCTTCCCCTACTGTTCTCGAGGATGATAGAAAGTCCGACGTTTCGTCTGTTTCTCCTATTAACCTGATAATGAATTTAATAAACCAAATTAGGGAGGAATTCGAAAACAGATTTAATAAACTTGAAAATACGTTTGTAAATGCGAAATGTGCTGACTCACATCTCTCGACCAGTCCTTCACTTACGAAAGGTCCTACTATTCCACAAAAGTTAATATCTTGGCCTGTGTTTGATTCACAGAATATAAATATTTGGCTGGAAAAGCTGCAAGGAATAAAGGAATGTTTCGAATTAGACGATACAACATTTATTTCCACACTAAAGTTACAATCAGATATAGATTTAGTAAAAAGAATCAGGCTAGAAGAGGCAAAAGGATATGAATTAACCTGGCCTAGATTGAAAACACAGATTAAGAAATGGTACGAAACAGATTCCACTGTGAAGAAAACAATTAAAATGTACGACAGAATTCAAGGGAAATTAGAATCGGCCTTTTCATATGTGTTAGATAAATTAGAATTAATTAATTCTTTAAATCATGAATATTCGGAGATGGAAAAAATAGAATTATTAAACAATGGCTTGCAAAAGGAAGAAAGAATGTCTATTGCGAATAAAACATTCCACACCTTAGATGACTATACCAACGCCATCATGGAATTAGACTCGATAACAAAGAGAGAGCGCGAAAAATACTACAAAAGTTTCAGTGTAGGTGAATGTTCAAACAGGCCTAATGGAGTTTCAAGGTCACCTAAGCCTTACAGCCATTTTTACAAAGGACAATCGAGTCGTCAAAATCGTGAACTAATGGACCGTGAAAGAAAATCCGTATACAATAAGCGTTCTAAAACCTTTAGGAGAACTAACAATAGAAACAAAGACATACAAACAGATCATGCTATATCTCGAAATCAGACAGTCTCAGAAGAAAGTTCTCACGATATTATTTGCCATAACTGTTGGAAAAGAGGTCATTATAAGAAAAGCTGTAAATATCCAAAATTTTATGCATTCGAAAAAATGCGCAAACTAATGGATAAACTCGAAGATCAAAACGAGGAACAAAAAAACTAATGGATCGGGCTCCCGAGGGAGAGCACTGTTTTCAAGCTGTTAGAATCCCTCCTTATCTTTTAGAGTGTCTCGCAATTTCGAAATCAAAATTACGCACTATTTATTTGGAAATTGAAGGATCTCCGTTTAGTGCCATCATTGATACAGCCTCAGAGAAATCATTGATAAGCCGAAAACTATGTATAGAATTAAGACTAAAAATACGTCCTAAATCTATTAAACTAATCGTAGCAGATAATAGAAAGATAGAGTGTGAAGGTACTTGTATGTGTAGACTACAAATAATGGGAAATTGTATTGAATTTGTGTTTGTAGTATTGGAAAATTTTCCACATGATTTATTACTAGGTAGTGATTTTTGTGAACAAATGAAAGCAACCATCAACTTCAGAGACAACTTATTTATAGTACCAATGGGAGAGAATTGTATGAGTCAAATTCAAACGCCCCTTTTACATCATAGCAACGCAAAATTCCGTACCACCGAAGAAACACTTGTGAATGCTTTTACTATGCGTGCTGTAAAAGTTCACTGTCCAATTAAACAGGGTATAGTAGAAATAAAGCACGAAATGGGCGAGAATGGTATCAATGTTTTATCAGGTATTTGTGATGTGAGAAACAATAAATGTATAATTCTAGTATTAAGTAGCACTCCAACACCTGTTTTACTCCCAGCAGAATCTACTGTTGCCAAAGGGAAACCATGTGAAGAATATTCCTTTATTAACTTGTCTTTATCATCACAATCAGACAGTAAAGCAACAGATTCAAATACTATTAGGCCAAACGCTAACCTGTTGAAGGAAAAAAATGTTAGCTTATTTGTTCATTCTTATCGAAAACTAAATATAGAGTCATTTACTTTTAATATCGGGAATGATTTATCTGAAGATTCTGTAAAACAATTAGAGAAGGTATTGAGAGAAAACCTAGACGTATTTGCCAAAAACAGTTTCGATCTTGGAGTATGCACCCTAGGATACCATGAAATAGTAACACAGTCTGATGTCAAGCCAATTAAGCAAAACGCTTACAGAATGTCTCCTTATCAACGAGAAATTGTCAGAGATTTAGTAGAACAAATGCTTCAAGCTGGTATAATTAGGCCATCAAAGAGTCCGTGGGCCTCACCTATAGTGCTAGTACCAAAAAAAGATGGGAAACATCGGTTATGTGTGGATTATCGTCGTCTAAATAGTCTCACAGTCTCAGATACTTATCCCCTACCTCGTATAGATGATGCGTTAGAAATCTTGGGAGGAAACAAACTCTATTCGGTAATCGATTTAGCCTCTGGATTTTGGCAGATACCCATGGCTGAAAGTGATATATGTAAGTCCGCATTTATAATCCCAGATGGCATATATGAGTTTTTGAAGATGCCATTCGGTATGAAAGGAGCCCCAGCAACATGTCAGAGGATAGTTGACCAAGTTTTAGGTGATCTAAAGTGGAAGGAGGCCCTTACATATATCGACGATACTATAGCATTTTCCAAAGACCTCCCATCACATTTGAAATTACTAAACGAATTGTTCAAAAGATTTAGAAATGCTCAATTGAAAGCTAAACCTGAAAAATGCATATTTGCCGCTAATCATATCAAGTTTCTTGGATACATCGTTGAAGATGTAGGTTGTAAAACCGACCCAGAGAAAGTAAAGGCAATTACTGAAATGAAAGTGCCCACTACAGTGAAAGAACTTCGATCCTTCTTAGGAATGTGTGGATATTTTAGACGATTCATAAAGGATTTCTCGACTATCGCCACACCATTATTCCGTTTACTTAGAACCAATCAAAAATTCATTTGGAGAGATATCGAACAAGAAAGTTTTGTACGATTAAAGGAAAGTCTATGTAACTCACCAGTTTTAAGTCATTTTGACCCAGAAAGAATGTGTTATATACATACAGATGCATGTGATGTAGGATTAGGAGCTACTCTGTTTCAAAAGGATAATGATGGAAGAGAACATCCCGTATGCTACATCAGCCGAACGCTCAATAAAAGTGAGTGTAATTATCCTACGACACAGAAGGAATGTTTAGCCATTAAATGGGCTATCGAGAAACTACGTCCGTACATCTATGGCAAAAAGTTTATAGTTGTAACTGATCACCACAGTTTGTGTTGGCTAATGCGCTTAAAAGACGCGAATAGTCGTCTGTGTAGATGGTCGTTAAGCCTTCAGTGTTACGACTTTGATGTAATATACAAACAAGGTGCATCTCATAAATGTCCTGATTGTCTCAGCCGAATTCCAAATGAAGATAACATAGACCTGGAATGCAAAGAGGACGACTTCTCCTTATTCACTACTACTGTGGAGAACGTTGACATGTTAAAAGCACAAACAGAAGATGCATTTTGCCAGGAAATAAAAAGTATTATTACAGGGAGCAGTAATAACGCTAACAATTCGAAACGAGTTCACACTACTAAGCGTTACTTCCTACATGAAGGTATTCTTTATAAACATCTTTATCTTCCAACTGGTATAAAACAAGTGCTGGTTTTACCTAAAAGCCTGCAGTTGGAAGTTCTTCAAGCTGCTCACTCTAGCAAATTTGGTGGACACTTTGCAGTTAAGAAAACGTATGAAAAGGTACATTCAAGATACTTTTGGCCAAAAATGTTTCGTATGATTTGTGATTACGTAAGAGCATGTCCATCCTGTCAATTAAGACTAGGTCCTAATGGTCCTAAAGCAGGTATGCTGATGCCAGTACCAGTCCACGCACCCTTCGAAAGAGTCTCACTAGATCTAGCTGGCCCATGGCCTAAAGATAAGCTAGGATGTACTCACGCAATAGTTGCAGTGTGTGATTTCACTGGTTATGTGGAAGTAGGTGCGCTCCGGAGCGAATGCTCCGAGGATGTAATTGACTTCATAGAAAATTTCATCGTTTTAAGGCACGGTTGTCCTCAAGAAGTAAGGACTGACCGAGGCTCGCAATTTATCTCCAAAGCAACACAAACGTTTTTGAAAATTAGGTGCATAGGCTCGAAGCATACTTCTGCTTATCATCCTCAAGGAAACGGTCTTGCAGAAAGAACAATAAGAACAATTAAAAATATTTTAAATCATTTTTACAAAGCAAACCGTAAAAATTGGTCAGAATTGTTAAATTACGCAGCCTTCGCATATAATACTACATATAGTGAGCCTAGAGGCTTCACTCCGTTCTATTTGGTATATGGTAGAGACCCTCTATTACCCACTGATCTACATTTAAATAGAATCAATTTTGTAGATAACGACGAATTGGCTGATACAAATATTCCTGTCTGGGTTAGGCGCGCGGAAGCCGCTCGTGAAATTGCGCTAGGTTATATTGCTAACGCAAAGGACCTTTGTATGAACAAATACAATGAACGCCGACAATTTCGTGAATACTTTAAAGGACAACTAGTATTACTGGCTATTCCCAAACAATTACAGAAGGGCAAACCCATAAAATATAAAGGTCCCTTCAGAATTGTAAGCAAGCTGAACGATAACAACTATGAAATAGAAGCTATTGATTGTAAACCTCATAGTAGCCCTTGGCTTGATGTAGTCCATGTAGAGCGCTTGAAACCGTTCTATACACCGAAGTTCATCATGAAGTCCCTAGATCAAAGAGAGGAAAAGGAATCATCGTTGACACAAGAGAGCAGTGATTCCGACGAAGAACCAGAACCCGATGACCCGCGAGATGCAGATTACATCACCGACGATCTCCCAGAAAGTAAGAAGAAATACTATCTTCGTCCTCGTAAATCGTAACTACCATATCTTTAGGAGAATTGTTACGAGCCGAGACGTCTCGTCCTAAAGGGGGGAGTACTGTAACGGACACTTTGTACCGTACATGTGATTGGTCGAGTTGCCAGTGGCGCGAAGCTATTGTTCGTTGGATTATGACTAAACGCCCCTAAGGCGGAAGACCCCTAACCGCGAAAACGGAAGTCGTTGGGAGAATAACCCTGCGCGGTACGAGAGGAACCGCAGGGTCAGTCACTTTTTGGTTTGGTCTCTGGTTGTGAGGACGTCGATCAGTGCGAGACGCAAGAAGAACGAAGTTATACCCCAGAATAGATTTGAACCTTGGGGTACGAACTCACCACTTTGAACTTGTACCTGGCTAAGATTCCCGTTAGCCGTAACATAGGTGCATTTAATCCAAGCCCTGAAAGATGCTAACTTGATGTGCCTGGGATCGATGGATTGTCGTGGGATAATAATAGGCTGAAAACAGAGCTTTTGGTATATGTTGGTCCAGATTTCCCCTTGCTTGCAGGTGATGGAAATGTCAAGGAAGTTAACATTAGTACAGCTCTCCTGGTCTATATGTAATGATAAGCCATAAGGGTTATTGTTGATCATATTTAAGAAATGTTGACGGTTAGGCTTACTTTGCCATAGTATGAAAATGTCATCCATATATCTGGCATACAAAATGATATGATGTTGAAATTTGGGTAGGACAACGTTTTCGAGTTGACATAATACTAATTCGAAAGAATAACCGACATAGGATTACCCATTGGTACGCCTCTCCCTTGTAAGAATACCTTTCCTTCAAACTCAAAGAAAGATGTATAACAAATACCAAATGGGCAAGTTCTAGGATATGAGCATGGTACCTCATCACATTCTTGATATTAGTAAATAAAAAATCCCTTATGTTCAAATAACTTATTTTACATAATAATAGCCTTAAAACACAAGACTTGTGATGCTGGCAATTTGGATATGCCAAAGAGAAGTCATAGTGCTGCCTTTCAGTGAAAAGTCATAGTGTTTCCTTTCAGTGAGAAAGTCAAGTCCTTGCCTTGATAAGGAAAGAAAAACTGTATATAAATATGATAATTATTATTAATTAAATTCTTAAATCTTGTAATTCATATGTTATGATATCCAAATTGGTCTGAGGGGCTATGTCCAAAATGCATATCTGACAGAAAAACTGGCAATAAAATACTTCTAAAACATTAACCATCTTAGTCCT